CGTTCGATAAATTGGGATAAATTCTTTCTCTCTTCATGCCCTCAACATGCGACGGACCTGTTTTATAGTATAATCGGCTTCTGCATCGATTCAGCAATACCACTAAAATGTGCTTACCAAACCAAACCTAAATCCGATCGCAAGGCATTGAAGGCAGCGCGAAAGCTTCATAAGATTCGTCAGAAATTCAAGTTAAGTGCTGACTTTGCGCTATTATTACTGCAGTCGAAGCTCGTGGAAGAACAAAGGCATCAAAGTGACAAAACTCTCATTCTAGAAGAGTATAAAGCTCTGAATGGCCTTAGCAAAACAGCTGAGTTAGCCAAACTATTCCGTGCCCGGGGTTCGCGTTGCAGTGACAATCTCAGTTTTATCACCACGCCTGATGGAACATACTACGACGCACCAGGTGATATCTGCGAAGCTTTCAGTGCTTATTTTGCCGAATCAATGCTCACTGAATCACCAGATGCACCAACATTTATCATGCCGCACAATAATGAAGGTCTATACACAGTGGAATTCACTATAGCGAAAATCACTAGTCAAGTCGCTCGCTTATACTCTTCAACGTGCACAGGCCCTGATGGGATTCCCCCATGTTTAATAAAAAGCAGTGGTAGTGACTTCCTTCTGCTTTTGCTCAACCTCTTTACACTCTCTTTTAACAACGGAGTATACCCTACTCAATGGAAAACTTCTGTTGTTATCCCGCGACATAAAAATGGAGCTGCCCACGAGGTTAAAAATTTTCGTCCCATCAATCACACTCCCATCGTATCTAGAATAATGGAAAGGATAGTGAAAAATGAACTATTTATATTCTTGAACAAAGCTAACATCATCAGCAATTCGCAATACGGCTTCATGAAAGGTCGATCCTGCGCAAGATGTCAGACTGACTTTTTAAACTACACAACGGCTGCAATTGACAACGGAAACAACGTCGTAATCCTGTTCCTGGATATGCAAAAAGCCTTTGATAGAGTGCCTCACAGAAGGTTATTAAACAAACTAAAGGCTATAGGCATTGGAGAACCTATGTTCTCTTGGCTTTCTTCATATCTAACTGGAAGACAGCAGGTTGTGCGCATAGGCGACCATTTCTCTAAACCGAAAGCAATCACTAGTGGAGTGATTCAAGGGAGTGTTCTTGGTCCACTTCTTTTTTAATTTATATTAACGATATATTCCAGGGAATAAGAAATGGTGTTGCATTTATCTTTGCTGATGACATTAAAGTTGTCTACTCACAACCACGCGCAAATACTCAGGAAGGCTTACGTCTCATTCAGGATGACCTATCCGCCCTTGACTCCTGGTGCCAACTGTGGCAGATGTCATTTGCCGTGGACAAGTGTAATATTTTGTCGTACAAATGCCAAGTACCGCCAGACAGTGTATTACTACAAGGCGCATATATCTCGCAATGCAGGACAATTCGCGACTTGGGCGTGCGATATTCAGTTACTTTTAACTTTTCTGAACACTGTGACTTCCAAGTTTCGAAAGCCATGAAGACCATTGGTTATATCTGCCATCATTTTTACCTTACGGAATCTCGCATATCGCTTTACAAAACACATGTACTGCCGTGTATGGAATACTGTTCAATGGTACAGTCTAATCTACGGAAATCTGACCAGCACGCTCTTGAGAGGATCCAGAGACGCTTCACGAAAAAGCTATGTGGATATTCCTCAAAGTTGACATACAGGGAGCGATGCGAAAAACTTGGATTTGACCCAATTTGGCTTCGAATAATGAAGCTGAACCTATGTTTTCCTTACAGACTCAGAAACTGTTAAATTCGCAGTTTTGAAAACGGTGTTCACATATCTGTAAACAGCAGATACCCAATACGTAACAAAGAGGTAAAGGTCATGATTCCAAAATTTACCACGAGAATCAGTGAAAGTTTCTTTCTAACCCAATACTCAAAGATTTGGAACAAACTCCCAAGTGATATCAGAACATGCCATACTCTTTGCAATTTTAAGCTTGCTATTAGTAAGCATTTAACCGTCCGAAACGTGATTAAGATGTTCGGGACATCACAGTCCCTAGATAACGCATTCGAAAACGGTATCCATGGTGTCTGAATAAATTTCCGAAACACATACACATAACACTTCGGACAACAGCCCCTCTCATTACATTGCCTTTCTTTTGGCCCAAACATCTGTCATGTGATTGTGAAGAATCCTGATTCAATGGCAGGAAAAAATAGCAGAACGATTCTGATTACTCTGTGTAACATAACTTGCAATTGCGTCCATGTTTATCTCTGAAAATGTATTGATGAAATGTCATGGAAAAATTGTACCGGTATTTGATCTGTTCCTTATAGAGAACAGCTTCTCGCATCGTCGAGGAATATACAATTTATTTATTTATTTATTTACTATTCATGTAGTTTACCTGTTTAATAAAGTGTTCGAACAAAAGGACAGCCATAATGCATTACAATGTTGCTTTTAGCCCATTTATCTTGGTAGCCCAACTAGAGTAACAAAGCTTTTACTGAAGCAATACATGATACAACTTTTCTTGGTTGATTCTACATCATTTGTTATTTTCGCTCCTTTCCTCATCCATAGTTGGCTCATGTCGAGAAAAGGCGTATATCGATTTAGATTTCACATTAAAAGTAAGTCATTATGTAAGTAAGTAAGTAAGTAAGTAAGTAAGTCATTATGTGTGTTGTGATCACACATGTGGAAGTTGCAGTGATTTCTACAATGCAACCAGCAGGAAACCAGGAATTCCGATGGATTGCTTATAGTGTCGTGGGCTAGAAGGACTAGACGAATAAGTTATTCTCGGGCACAGTACTAATAGCCGGCCCCGAAAAAGATATGTATCCTGCTCTTTCGGTAAATGTAAACAAAGAAACTTATCCACACTGTACAAAAATTATCGAAGGCGAGAAACAAAGCAGTGATCAAGCAGCTGTCCATCTGTTTTATCAATACCATCATAGTGAGTGAATCGAATAGGCTTCATGTTAATGTGAATCGCAAACCATTCACCAAATGGGCGTCTCAAAATAGTCCTCTAATCAGGAACCACGTCACTACGTTCGTTGGTTCGGGTAGTCGTAGTGCATGTTGATGACGAGATTGTAGTAATTCGCACCGCCGAACCCTCTGAGGTAGAGCAGTATTTCGAGTTGCAGAGATTTATACACCGAAGGTGGATAAGCAAGACTTGATCGGCTTCATCAGGCAAAAGCAGCCGGCTCTGAGACAAGAAATACTGGGTTTTCCTAAAGTTTAGTAAAATCTTTTGGATACCTTTTCAGCATTTACGGACCATTTACGAATGTTCTTTAATATGTGTTCAAAGTAAACACTCCTAGACAATGTTATTGCACCATCCGCTTATCATAACTATCACCATTGGTTTAGGCATGAATAAAGAATGAAAAGCTTTCTGCGGATGCATCTTGTACAAGTTCCTACGGGAGATTAAAGTGGTCGAGGCTTGTCATAACCTACGTGAGGTATTAGCTACTGATTCCCCAAATTACGGTTTGGTGACATTTGGGTTCCGTCGATTCAAATTAGGGAACTACGAATCATCAAATATTGGAAATCAAGAACGTCGGCTCAAGAACATTGTCAGCTACATCCAGGATGCTCTAAAGGAGGATTCGAGCTAAAGTGTGTATGAAGTTTAGCCAGACGTTGCTCTTCCAAATACCACCGTTTATCACCATCTGTGCAAATCCGAAATGGTCTTGAAGTTCCAACAAATTGTATTACGCAAACTGACTAATGAGCAAATTTTGAACCGTTGTGCTATCGCAATTTCATTGTTTACCCAAAGACGAATTCATTGCTGGCTGAACGGTTTTGTTGGAAACGAGAATTGGGTGTTTCATGTCAACTAAAGCAGGAAACGCCATTAGATTAAAGCAGATGGAACACCAGCAGAAGTCGAGGAAGGCGAACGGCACGACAAATTTTGATGCTGTCAGTCTGGCGAGATCGCGGTGGCGCCATTTGTTGGGAACTGCTATCTGGCGATTCCACGATGACTGATGATGTTGACTGCCAACAAATGTAAATGATTGTCAAAGGATACAGAAAAGGACGTTCAAAAGCGGCTGGAATCCTCCTCATGTACTATAACGCAAGTCCTCACTTGGCAAAAATGACGGGTCTCAAGATACAGCAGCTCGGTGTCGTGGCTGTTATGTATCAAGCATATAGCCAGCACTTCCGCCTGTTGTACGATCACATAAAAGAGAAGAAATGCGACGACCTCGACCACATCCAAATTTGTCTTGATTAGTACTTTGACAACCAACCTAGGTCATCCTATGGGAGAAGCATCGTCAACTTGTCAGTGTGTAAGCAGTACGCGACGGATAACAATGGACATCATAGTTATTAGATAATAGCAATTGTTTGAAGTAAATATTAATCGAAAGCATGTACTAAAAATTTCCGCTGATTTTGGGACAGCACAACGGGAGAAACCTCGAGCGCACACAACTTAGCTCTGTGAGCGGTTCTTGACACAGTCGGTATGGCTTCATTAAATGTCTATGAGTAACTAGCTCTCCTCATGGAAGGAATCCAATAATCACACGGCAGTTTTGTTAGCCAGCGACGTCGGGTTGTTCCCAACACACATAATCACCTGTTTCTGAATGGCATGAAAAGTAACAATTCATTTGTTCCATTAGATTGGGGAGCCATCAAGCAAAGTATATTATGACTATACACCGCCGTCATTAGATAGAGTAGAGGTATATCACCAGTACCGAAATTATGCATGCAAGGGTTTTACGCAGTTACCATCAATCTACCTAGTATTTCGGTACCAACAGCCTGCGAGTCTAGTTGGCGGGACGAAATGAACGAATTAGCATGTTGTTGCACAATGGCAAGCTTAATATTCGTAATTAACAAAGTTGCGAGAATCTGAGTAGTTGTGAAGCACACACACACACACTTGCAATGATTGAGAATGATTACAACAAGACTTACCCATTCGGAAGCATTGAGATACAAACGTGTGTCATTGCCCAGTTGATATTTGACGCAGTCCCAGTGGTTCAGATATTTAGACCAACTCTCATCGGTCCAAACCATAGTCACTTGGTTTTCGGTTGTCGACGAACTGGTCTGAGTTGCACCTGAATGGGGAGACGGAAGGACAAATTATACTAACTAGCCCTGCAGAAACCTACATTAACAATGTTTGCAATAAAGATACAAGTTATATCGGGGAAAAGCATGATGGTATCCAACAAGGCTAGTAACCTTTAGCGACAATAGGCAGTTTTTAAGACAGAAGGATTTCGGAGATGAACAGCAGGTTTGGTGACAATCTGTTCTGGCTCAGTCTGTCAACCTTAATTCCTCTACAAAGAGATACAAATCACTTCTAGGAGGTCAAAAATCGTGTAGCAAATGCAGGAGGCGCTTTTGCTAACATTCGCCACCTATAGCAGCAAAGTGACATCACTCTCTCCTTGAAGGGTAGCGGAGTGTACAATGCAGCCGTACGTTTGGCCCTGCTGTACGGTTGTGAAACCTGACCCATTAGATCAGAAGACTGCAGCAGAGGCTAGTTAAGTTCGACCACCGGTGCCTTCGTAA